ACTCTTTCCTCTGGTTTAGCTGTGGTTGGATCTTGTGCTTTGTAGTAGTACGAGCAGGGGGAAATTTGAGCCTGAAAAAAGTGAGAAATAAAAGTTTATTAAAATAAAAACTTCCATTGTAAGATCTATATTAGGTTTTCATGCTCAACATGTTTTGTTTGAAACCTCTTTAATGACTTGGACTTGAGCTGCAGTGAAGAACTCTTTGCTGTTAATTTCTGGCTGAGTGGAAAGCTACAGTGTTGATCTGTGTGAGAAGGGCATTTTGTTACTCGTTTTGTACATAAATGATTGCACAGCCGTGTAGCTCTGAATTCCCTGTCTTAAACTTTGAACCTCGTGGTGTGTTTTAAATTTAGAGTTGTTTCAATAGTGCCTATAAAAGTCCGGAAGGGGCCAAAAATTTGGGTGTTTAGTGACTTGCTGAACAAGTGCAAGGAGAGTTGCTGAAATATGAAATATCTCGGACATTTCCTGCAAGTTGAAGAAGTGTCTGTCAGAGCAGGCTGGCTGTTTCATTGCTGCGTATGTCTCTTCGTAATGATAAATTACCAATTCTTAGCAGTAGTTTGCATTTTCTTACCAGTTTATACATGGCATCAGTCTCCTTATCCACTACCAACAGTGTGGTTTTTGCCTCGAGCTGCTTAATTTTTTCCACTACGCTTTTATGATCCAGACCATTCACTTGCTCGCCGTTGACAGCCACTAAGATATCATTGTCTTTGAGACCTGCCTTGGCTGCTGGGCTCTCGGGATCAACATCCTTGATTATATGATCTAAGATCAGAAGGGGAAAAAAGATTGAGATGAAGGTGTATGCTTGTTTAAAGACATTAAAATGCATGGCAAAAGCCAATTGTCAGAATTGTATTTCAGGTTGAGACCGTTTCCCTGATGTAGTCCTGTTTGCAACATGTCTGTCGAGGACTTCCAGATGAACAGTGAGAAGCCAAAGAGAAGGAGGTCTACAAAACCTGTACAGGAAGAAACTGTGTAGTGAATGCCTTGGTCTGTGTGTTAACTTGGTTCTTACCGCCAGTATTTCGTTCCATCTGCAGATAAAAGCCGTAACGGCTTTTTCCTTTCTGGATCTCAATAAGTCGTGGTTTGAGGGGAAGCAATCTTAGATTGGCACTCTCCTTGCTCAGGACCAGCTTCTGGCTTGTGTAATAGCAGTCCGTTTCTTCGTTTGAAAGTAGAAGCATAACGTGATTTCCAGACTTCTTTACCTGTGATAGTACATGTACAGTCTCAGATGTCACCCCTTCAACAACACGTGGGAGTTGTGGATGCTTTGGTAACTGGTGTACTGATATATAGTGGTGTGTGAGTGCTACTGATGAATGAGCCATGAGGTACAGACTACACTACTATAAATTTTTTTTTTTTTCTTCAATCAGAAATTTGAACTGTGACAAGATCTCGGGCATGTAAGATCCAACATATATTTGAGGAAGTTTTCTGTATTTCATACTGTTTTTCTGGCCTCTAGGGAATTAGCTGTGGAGTGCCATGAGGGTGGCATACAGTGCCAGCAGAATCCACTGAGCTTCAGTAGATAGTGCTTGGCTTATCTAGATGTGGAACTCTACAATACAGACATATCATGCCATCTCTACCACTATTTTAGGTTACAGTGACGAGTCAAGTTTCTATCACTCTTGGTCTTCTTCCATCTCTCTGTATTACTGATTCTGAGTTTGGTTTTTGGAGTTTGGTTTTGGGGTGGGTTTTTTTTGTGTGTGTCTATTCAACCTCTCCAAGTCCATTGTTTTCTTACTCCTTTCTAGTCTAGTGGGTGTCCTCTTTACTCATCTTAACCAACATCACTCTGCTGCTGATGTTACAGCAGCTCAACAAAACACAGGTGTTGCATGGTTCTGTAGTTAGTAGCATGCGCTGAATTGCGATGCTGGAATGCTGGAGCATGTACGGCCTGTCTCGTGACTCTGAAATCTCTTCAGCTTCAGCTGTGTTTTAGCAGTGCCAACAGTAGAAAGCTGGAAGCCTCACTGGCAATGTTCTTTGCAGCTGAGGCCAAGTGGTGAAATTACTTGCACAGTAATTTCATTAGTTTTGGACTTCTTTACAGGAGAAAGGAAGTACTGTCTAAAATAATGAATTTTCCCTGTTCCATGCTAACTGTATCATCAGAGAGTTCCCCCTCATCCTGCCCTGAAAGCCACGTTTGATGACTTGCCCTCTTACCGTTAGCAGTATTTCCAGGACTTCTAGGAACACAGCATGATTTATTTAACAGGGTTCCTGGCAGCAGTATACTTCCGTTATTTAAAGTTCTTTGCCCTGTCTTGGTGGCAGTATTCATTCAGAATAGGTTCAAGAGGCTGCTCGACAACAGAGCCCAAGCAGAGGGGCACACCCTCATCTTGATGATACACAAACAGTAGCTTCAAAGATTTACTGTGAAGCATTCAAATCGGCCAGACCTGCCTCCTCAGTAACCCTGACAGGTTGCTGTGAAAGTGGGCCAGAACAGAAGGTGAATCGATATACAAACAAATACCTTTTCCACCACTTCTGCATGCGTGTCATTTTCCACATTTTTTCCATTGATTTCAATCAGGCGATCGTTATTTTGGACACCAGCCTTTGCAGCTGCTCCTTGTGATGAAAGGTCTACTATGAACAGCCCCTTCTGTCCTAAAATAAATGAAGACTCATTACACGGGGCAAGTCACTGAAATGTGCCTGAATTTAACGGTTAAGGAAACTCAGCGCTGATGTCCTTAGAGACTCTTGGTCTCTGCTTACGTGCAGGTTACAGTGGCACTACAAACCTTCCACACAGACACACCTCCATCTCTTATTCTGTCCGGGAAAAGCCACTTCTGTGGGTGAGGGAGGCATTTGTTCACTATCTGCAGCTCAAACAGTCTTTTATTTCTTTACCAAGAGTGCCAAAGGGGCTGATTAAGATTGCTGAAAGGGATTTGATTCCTGCCCCACCCCCAATTTGAAGGGAGGACCTGCTTTTAGTGTTGTTTTATGCATTTCATAATTTCCTGTATTTGGAAGGCTTCCATGTTTGGTCTTTCAGTTATATTGCATTCCAAAATCCCCTCTTTAGAGGAGATGCTTTCCAGAAGACTTCCCTATTCGGTTGACTGTTTTTGGAAGAGAGGTGTATGTGGAAAAGATTCAAAATCCTGTGCTTTCTAAATGAAATAACTTATGAATCAGGAAAAGTGTTTATTACAGCTATCTAGAACCTTGCATGCTGATTCCTGAGGTGATTTGGAGGAGTGGAACAGGACTTCATGTAGCATCTTGAGTGTATATCTGGTTTTAAGTAGGGACTGCAAATTTGGTTTTGGTAAGTGGGCTTAAATTACAAGCAGAAAATAGGTTATTCTTTTTATCTCTTTTTTTTGCTCTTTAATCTTTTCTCCACCCCCATAAGAAACATGGTCCTCAGAAAACCATGCACTGCACAGGCTGTACGGAGGACTAGAGATGGATCTGAACTCATCTTGGTCCTTCTCACTTTTTCTGTTAGCAAGAGCAGTTTGTGTGCCCCATGGGCCCCTGACATGTTAACTGTGGTTGTCTCTTCCCCTGCTGCCATATATACATATATACCATCTCTTCTCCCCAGGCTCTCACCTTCTGTGGTTTTCAGAGAGAAGCCATAGCTTTTCTCCTCCTTCACTAGGTAGCAGAGTCGGGGCTGTGGAACTGCAGTGATCGCTCCATTGGCTGTGGGCGGTGGGGACTGCTGCTCCTGCTGCTGTCCTGTTGACACCTTTTGACCCAGCTCTTCCAAGTTCACTCCCTCCTCCTCTGCCTTTTGATAGGATGCGTCATCCAGAACAAGAAGTACAACAGAATTCCCGCTGTTTTTGACAATCTCCACCACCTGTAGTGGACAAGGTGAAATGGCAAGCAGGTGCTAATTGACCTAAAAGCTCTCCCCAGGAAGGGTCGCGCTGTCTACTGTTTTTGTTGTTTCATCCTTCTGCTTATGCACTACGGAGGCACCTCAAAGGTATTTCAAGCCCATGAGCGTAATGAATGATGGAGGGAGATACTCAGAGCAGTTGACTGCACTCTTGGATTTCCTATCTGAAGATGCCATAAAAACTGGAAGAGAAAGCTTCGTATAATGGCAGTTGGTTGGGGTAATGGGGGAGTGGTGTGGATCCCAGACTAAACAGACATGTACCTGTGTATGTTCCTCCTTGTCTACAAACACACCGTTAACCCTGAGGACTCTGTCTCCATCCTTCAAGCCAGCCTTTTCAGCTGGACTGTTCTTCGCCACGTTCCGGATGAGATGCCCTGCTGTGTCTTTTTCAATACGCAGGAAGAATCCGTAGCTCTTTTGGGGCTTTTTGGTCACTTTACATTCTCGGGGCTGGAGAACAGAAGTCATCTCTACCAGACAGGATGGAAAAGATGTGTGTGAGTAAAAACACTAAGCTTATGTCGGTATGTTCCCTCTAAATACACATTGAGACAGTTTGCTTCAGAATTCTTGGGTTTTGGGCGTTTTGTTTGTTTGTTTGTTCCCCCCACCCCCACCCCAGGAAATCAAACAGTGCAAAGTTGAAGCTAGTTAACAAGGCTAGGGAGAAGAAACCAATGCCTTTTCCCCTCTCACTCCTCGCTTATCTTAACTTCATTTGAAATGGGGAGACAGGCTAGATGCAGAACTGGAAGAAAGAAGTTATCTGCCTGTGATAACAAACTGAAAATTGGGGTGGGGATTTAATACCAGAATTAAGTCTTGCAGAGGGGAAATAACAGCAGCACAAAAATACTGGAATGCTATAGGAAAGTTGTGGCAAAATGGGGTTTCACAGAATCGCGGAATGGTCAAGGTTGGAAGGGACCTCTGAAGGTCATGTGGTCCAACCTTCCAGCTCAAGCAAGGTGTCCTGGTTTCTCTGAGATAGAATCATAGAATCAATTTTCTGTCGAAAGAAGCTACATTTGTTAAGTAAACTGCATTTTTAAGAAGACTGCAGCACCTGGATTGGGTGAGACACTTTGTTTAGTAGCTGGCCATGGTGTGCAGGTATCCATAGTGATCAAGGACTTTTCAACTTGTTTTTGCCGACAACCCTGATGTCCAAGATCCTGGAGGGAGTGTGGTCAGGGCAACTGATGCCTAAATTGGCAAATGGATATTCCATACCATGTAATGTCATGCTCGCTATAAATTTGTTGGGGTCGGGTTATCTCTTTTCCTCAATGGTTGCTGTCCCTGGAGGGTCTCACCTGTCATTCTGCTCCTGAGGCCTGCTCACTCACTCTCTTGAGCGATTGTGGTTTTGGGACTTTCCTGCTTCGGGATCACTAGCTGGGAACGGGCTGGACATTGGCCAAGGGGTGGTGGGCAGTGGCACTGTACATCACTTGTCTGTATATATTTTTATTACTATCATTATTATTTTTTACATTTTATTTTATTTCAATTATTAAATTGTTCTTATATCAACCCATGGATCTTCCTTCCTTTTCTCGATTCCCATTCTCAAGTGGGGAAGAGTCATTGAGTGATAGAACAGCTGGCTATTGTTTAGCCTCAGACACAGGCTAACTGTGTAGACACAGGGCCCCCTAGAGTCAGTTCCCCAGGACCATGTCCTGGCAGCTTTTGAATATCTCCAAGGTGGAAGGCTCCATTACCCCTCTGGACAACTTGTGCCAGTGCTTGGTCACTCTCATAGTAAAAAAGTGTCCTTACATTCAGATGGAGCCTCCTCTGTTTCAGTTTGTGCCTGTTGCCTCTTGTCCTGTCACTGGGCACCAATGAAAAAGCCTGGCTCCATCTCTTTTCATCCTCCTTTCAACATATTTTTGTACATTGGTAAGTTTTCCCTGAGCCTTCGCTTCTCCAGGCTGAACAGTCCCAGCTCTCAGTCTTTTGAATATCTCCAAGGATGGAAACTCTACAGCTTCTCTGGGCAATCTGTGCAGATGGACAAGCAGGTGGGATCAAGGAAGGACCAGATTGTCCTTACCAGGTTTTCCTATTCTTAGTGTTTTTAGCTAAACAAAATTAAGTTTCAGGAAAAGACGTTGTAACTGGAGCGTTATTGAGTGCAGGGCTTGCATTGGAGGGTGGAAAGCAAGGACTGTAAAGGAACTAGGAAGACCCTTGTCTCCAATTACAAAGCTTTTTTTCTTCTAGTTGGGTTTAATATCTCTACGTCTCAGTTTTCATACAAAATGATACGCTTGCTTTACTTCCATGTCCTTTAGAAGTTACTGGTAGAGTCAAAGTTCTTGGAGCTGTCTGTGTTTTTGCCTCTGCATCCTGATTGGTTCTGTTACGAAGAGGAGCTAACAGAGCTATTTCACTTTGGTATATCATTATATGTGAGACTTGGGTAAGATTGAATGCAGTTATTATGAGGTCTAACAAAAGTGTGGAATATTCAAGCATACACCTACTGACAATGTGAATGTGCCATCGGGTAATTGGAGGAGAGGTGTTTTAATACTGCCTGGTCTGTATGGAGCAAAATAGAGGAGTTGAGACAGTTGCAATTCTCACATGAATCTTGAAATGACCGTAAAACCTCAGTTTGCTGCCTGACTGAAACTTTGTCTCTGACCCTGATGACTTTAACCATGCCATGAGATGTAATCAATATGAAAATGTGACGTTGTGTGAGAAGGGAAAGAAATCAAATTTGGTTTAGAAATGACAGGCTGCTGAAATAACTGCAGTACTTTGATTCAAATGATTCCTCAATGAATTTGTGACAACTGGAGCAGAATTTCCAGTCAGTGTCTCCAGGGTGCTGTGTTACTTCCCCAGAGAATTTGAGGCCAGCTGGTTCAAGAGTATACTTGGTGCTGGGGATTGCTACCAGATCGCTATTAGGCAGTGACCTTTGTCCTCTGGAGGTTTTGGAGCAAATCCTCCTGGAAGCTGTGTCAAGGCACATATGCCAAGGGCAGGAAGGTGTATGGGATAAGACAGTATGGATTCTCTGATTTTTATGATGCCTGATGAACCTGATAACTTTATCTGATGAGTGGACAGGCTCTGTGACGGGGAGAGAGCAGTGGCTACTGTTCACCTTAACTTCTGCAATTACTTGGATACAGTCTCTAGTACAGTTGTTATACCCAATTACGTGACATGTACTGGATAAGCTAACTACTAGATGGGCAGAAAATAGGCTGGGCCACTGGATTCAGAGGGTTTTGATGAATGGTGTATAATCCAGCTGTTGGCTGGTTATTGGTGGCGTTCTTTAGAGCTGGTACTGAGGCCAATACTATTTAACATCTATCTTTATGATATGGACAGTGAGACAGAATACATTCTCAACAAGGTGATAGGTGATACCAAATTGAGAAGGAGCAGTCAATAGGCTGGAGGTTAGGGTTGCTATTTAGAGGGACCTCAGCAGGCTGGAGAAATGGTCTGGCAGGAACCTCGTGAAGTTCAAGAAAGAGAAGTGAAAAAAAAGTCCGTATCTAGACCACACACAACAGTACAGGCTGACTGCTGGCTGGCCGGAAGGCAGCATTGTTGGACAACACATAAGTGCCCGAGTTGAACGTGAGTCAGTGGTGTACTTTTGTGGTGAGGAAGGTCAACTGTATACTGGGTGGTATCAAAATGTAGCCAGCAGGTCAATGGAAGGGATTACTCCCCTCTCTTTGGCACTTGTGAGGCCACATATGGTTACTGTAGTCTTCAGTTTTGAGCTCCCCAAGTAATTGGCGTATTGGAGCTAGTCCACTGAGGTGATTTAAGTTTTGGAACACGCAATGTTTAAGCAGGATGAGAGAGCTGGGTTTATTCAGTCTTGAAAGAGAAAGGGAAGGTGGGATCGATGTCTTCAACTGGCTAACTGGATTGTGTAGAGAACACAGAGACAGACTCTTCTTGGAAGTCAACAGTGGTAGGATGAGAGGCAACAGATACAGGTTGCAGAAAGAGAAATTCCAATTAAACAGCCATAAAGGACAGCTTTCTATCGTTGGGGCTGTCAGATACTAGAACAGGGGCCCAGAGAAGCTGTGGAATCTCCATCCCTGGAGATACTTAACTGGATGGGGCCCTGAACAAGGCGATCTAAGTTGATCGTGTTTTGTATGGTGCATTGGACCAGATGACCTCCAGAAGTCTCTTCCAACCTAAACTCTTGTATGCTTTTATGATGTGAAGAAACTCTTTTTTGGGTGATGCATATCGTACTACATACTGAAAATAAGCAGTAGTTGTGATTAGAGAACAACTCCAAAGATAGTTGTCTTCGGAACTCCTGCCAAAGATCCATGATGACAGAGGAACAAGATGAATGAAGACAACTTCCTCTAGTTGGAAAGTCCAGGTAATTAGCAAATTTTATTTGTATTTTACTGGAAAGATTTTTTTTCTGTCTCTCTCTGCTGACAGAAATCTGTCAAAAGGCCGAAGTTGTGTTGCAGAGATTAGCCATTAATTCACAGCCTAATAAATACTAAGAAAATTCGTCTGTTTGCATGTAAAGATTTGTTTGCAACTCTATGGTTTTATTTCTCTTTATATCACCTATGTGACTACTGTATGTGAGAACTGGCCTTTTTTTTTTTTTCTTTTCCTTCTTTTAGAAGTAGCTGGCAGTCAAATCCTTCCATGATAGCAACCTACTGCTTCTGAACCATGTCTGTGGCTACCCATGTTACAGACTATTTGCTATTGAAGCAGAAAGTGTGTTGTTGAAGTTAGTTGGGCAGCATATAGAGCAGTATGGATGTGTGGTGGGGGTTTGGCACGGATGTCACTGAAGCTGGAGAATATGGAGGATTTCAGCACGGAGGGGTAGGAAGCCTGCAGATCATGATTCACTTGTTCCCCTTGGTCAGGTGCCTTGTGCTTTTTTGAGTCTCTGTGTAGTTGCACCAGGACTAACTCCATACAGGGATGGACCACTATATTATTTGGGCATCACTTGGAGCACGTCGGACTATATTGATTGCAAGTACAGCTCAAAGCAGTTCTTGACAAACACTGGGAATCTGTGCTAATTCCTGAAGTTAAGGTGCAAAACCAGTGGTACACAAAGCTGAAGAAACAGTAGGCTTTTATGGGAAAGATTATTTCTTTGCATTTAGAAATGGAGGCAAGGTTACAGTGCGCTGCATACTACTCCTTTTAATCCATGAAAGCTTTACATGCAAAATTATTTGGCTCGTAAAAAAGAGTTTTCTAGGGCAAAAGAAATTAGCAAAAATGGAATTTCTTACCTGTATGTTTGTGTGGAGCAGCCTTCACAGGAATTCTCTTTTGCTGTCCTTCCTGTGGCTGTATCTATAAGTAAAGCTGGACTTTGATTGGGCAAAGGTTGATTTAAAAGATGATTTATTTAACCAAGTTTTACTGAATATGTTCAACATCTTGATAAGCTGCCTTGTCCTTGCCTGCAGAAGTGCTAATCATGTGCATTTCTCAGCAGCTTTGAATCAGCAGCTTTGAGTTTTGCTCTACTGATAATTATACTCAAAACTATAGTCAAGGTGGTCATCCGAGGCAAGCCTGATCTTTGCTCTGAGCAAGAGCCTTCTCCAGCTGTAAAAAATATCTTAAAGGGAGTAGATGTGGATTGCGGTGGATTGACATGGGCCAGCAGCATTTGACTCTGCAGATCAAGAGGTTGCCGGTCCAAATCTGTGTGCCCCACATTGGGTGCCAAAAAAAAAGGACTGTAATGGATTAACCTTGGCCAGCAGCCGGATGCCCACTGAGCCATGCTCTCTCTCTCTCTCTCCTCCTCTACAAGGCAAGGGGAGAAAATAGGATGAGAAGCCTTGAGCAAATTAAGATAAGGGCAATAACTGGGAGAAATAAAATGAAAAGATAGGCTCGTGATTGAGAAGTTGCCCTGACTGTTGAGGCCATTGCTCATGTGAAACATGCGCTGCAATCAAGCAACCCGTCTGAGTAAAGTCTCCCTGGAATAGAAGGAGGGAGGTGGCGGGGATATCGATATGGTGAGGCCTGGCAAAGTGGCTATACTGGACTAGTGCTATGAACCTGCCAAGGCAAGCACTATGCTTCCCACGGTGGAAGTGCCTACTGGGTGACTGGAGACATACGCTGTAAACCCTGCCATTACTTGAAATGCCATCCTGAGCCTTGAAAGGCAACTTCTGTGTTATGGTATCCCAGGAGGAATTGAGTCAGACAGTGCAACTCATTGCTGAAATAACCCCATATAGTCCTGGGCCGAAAAACACTGCATTGATTTGATGCATCTCATTCCCTATCACCCACAAGCCTCTGGAAAGATTGAACGATACAATGGCCTGTTAAAGACTACGCTAAGAGCATTGGGCACTGGGGAAAGGAAGCAGTGGGACATAAATTTAGCAGAAGCCACTTAGCTAGTGTAAGTATGTATTATAATTTGTAAGTGTTGGTAAAAGGGAACTTCAGGAATGAGAAACAGAACGACAAGGTTTGGGTAGGGTGTAGAAATTAAACAATATATTAATGGGATAGAGGATATTTAAATATATCAGATAATATGGGACCTGAACATGATGTGAATGGTATGGTATAAAGGGTTGAGGTTGTGCTGGGTCTGGCTGGGATGGAGTTAACTTTCTTCATGGCAGCCCGCGTGGTGCTGTGCTTTGCATCTGTGGCTAAGACAGTGTTGATAACACACCACTGTTTTGGCTGTTACTGAATTGTGCTTGCAAAGCATCAAGGCTTTCTCTCCCCCCATGCCCTCTTAAGCGAGTAGGCTGGGCATAAGCTTCTGCAGGATATGCTTATAGACATGGAATGAACTGATGGTGTTTCTACTGTGGGAGGAAGCCTCGAAATTTGAGATCTTGGTATATCAAGATACTTAATGAACTTTCCGTGCGAAGTTCTTGTTATAAAGTCTTATTCAATTTTAGAAAGCTTTAAAATTATTGATTTCCCTCACTAACTTGCTGTGGAATTGGATTATTAGAAATAATACCTGTGTTTTCCTTGGCTGTCTGCTCCAACCGTTTGATTCAAAGGAAAGGTGATAGAAATAAGCATAACCTAAATGTGCTGTAACAGAACAGTCATCGATGTTATAAAAGCCTTACTGTAATCCACTTACTCTAAGTGGATTTGCAAGCCTGTTGTGACTAGGAGTTGTTCCTCTTTGTATGACATATAATCTAAAAACCTAAGTGAGTGAGCCCCAATGTTGTAAGCACCAGAGAATTCAGACCTTGCCTAAGATGGCTTGTAATCTTTCAGACAAGTAAGACAAAGACTGGATGAGGAGGGACATAGAGAAAGGGAATCACAGTGGCTCACAGTTTTGCAGCTAAGCACGGTGCAGATAATGGAAACACATACAAGGATGCGAGGTTAGCATACAAGGAAACAACACAGCATTTGAAGCAACTTGTATTTTTTAATTGTCATGCCACTGTGATAGTCACTTGAGGTCGTTTTGGGTCCAGACAAGATTTTTTCAAGAATAAGGTGCTACACAAATGTAAAATGTTAGCAAAACTTAGAAATGTTCTGTGTTTCTAGAAGGGAAAGTATGGTCATGTTCCAAATGGGAAGGAGATGGAGACCGTTCAGAGTTTCAGAAGGCTTTGAAAAGAAAGTTGAGGGAGAAAGGTCTAGCAGTCAACAGAATACTTAAGCTTCTGGCATGGTGAGTTATGAAGCTTTGCTAAATATGAATGGTGAGGGGAAGATTCTTTGAATTGAGGCTGGTGGTTAGCCCTAGGACCATGATAGGAGTTTGAATGGGATGCTGATGACAAGGTTCAAGGAGGATGTAGCCCATGTGTGCTCAAGAATAGGACCTACATGTCTTAGAGCTAATCTTTGCGTTTGTGGGGCTGAGGTGTAAATTGTATGGAAGATGTACTAATGCATCCAATGCTGACAAGGCCTTGAGCCGAAGAATTCAAAAATTCTCCCATCCTTCCACCTGTGGAATGAAAATTACTTATGGATCAGAGTAAAGGCAGCTTTTAATATCTCCTCTTCTGGTTCTTGAGCCTTTTGGAAGAGTTTTCTCAAGCATGTTCATACAGCTACAAAAATGAGGAACCTAACTGAAAAAAAAAACAACAACAACAACAAAAAAGAAGATTTTACCTTTTAACACTTTGTGAAAAGTGACAAAACCCAGGAAAACCTCTGAAGTCACAGTATTCTTATACTGCAGGAGTTGGCCACAGTGACTCGGATGGTGTGGTTCTGTTAGCACAGGGATTAGACTTAGGGAGTCTTCTTTGGCTAAGGTATGTCCCTTTTCATCTATAGCCTGCTTATAGTAACATAAGGACCTTTGTTCCTATCCTCATTGCATTCTGCTGTGGGTCAACATTTACAATGTATTTTCAATCATTTTTTTTGCCAAAGTTTTTCTGATGTTCAGTTAGAGGAAATTCTGTGATACTTACCCGTGTACCAAAAATTATCAGAAATAAGCATTTCCCAGTAGTTGTAAGTAATCACATGGTTTCCTCAACATGTTGGTAAATGGAGAGAAGCACCTGTGTTCTTAACTTTGGTACTTCGGATATCTGGCTTTAGTAAATTCACAGGTTTTGGTAAGTCCTAGCCTTCTTCCCTCAGAGCAAAAACTTCTCGCTTTCTAGTGCTTTCAGCAACTGAATTAATAGCACTGACTGTAGAGATGTTTTGGTATCGTCTGTCTGAGGCATCTTATTTTGGTCCTCTGGAAGGCTTTCAAAGAAGTTGACTTGAGCACATAGCAGTAACAGAAAGTGCCTTAGCATCCTCATCCACACATTCTTCATAACAATCTGAAGAGCTGCCTAACTTCAAGGAGGGGTGACCATGTCCTCCACTGGCAAATGAGCAATGGTGACAGTAAAGGTAACAGTATTTTTCCTACTTAGCATTTGAAATATGATGAGAGTTGTGCTGCACATGCTCTAGTAGCCTGAAACTGGGTGTACATGTGGCTTGTTCCAGAGTGTCTCAGTGCTGGCAGAGTGCTGCAGAGTGGAGAGAGCCAAACCTGGCGTGGCTGGTGTTGTGCCAGGGCATAGTTTCAGTGAGTGCTATTTACCAAAGTCTCGCTCTTTGCCATGAAGTATGTGGCCCAGGACACTTCCTGGCTCTGTTTCGGACACAGACATGAGTAGAATGTGTGTGCATTGGTGCCAAAATGATGGCCCTTATTTAACTTATTCACATCTGAAGAGCTTGTACAAATTTACGCCTGAGTTTTTAAAGGGGTGAAAAAAAAAAGAGAGGAAAAAAAAATATAGCTAGCCTCTGGATCACTTCTAATTTTTTTATAAGTGGTTTTGTTTTGTTTTTAAATTGTCACTCACCAAGGTTGTGCTAAGAGATGGTGAAGAGCCATTCCACTGGATGAGAGGAGTACAAAACAGAGCTGTTAATGAAAGATTGGTGCAGTAGATCTTTAATGTTTGTAATACAAGCATAAAGTTACAAAGGTCAGTCAACTAAAAGGTGCCTTTTGTTATTAACACTGTTGTACAAGGAGTCCAAACCCAAGTTTGAATGAATGTAGTTTATATGTTTTGTTCTGAAAATAAAATAGCCCTAAAACAACGCCTATCTCCTCCAGCATTGTTCTATTCAGAAAAGGTTTACGTGGATATTTTGCTGTAAAAGTATTCCCTACCAATCAAGTCTCTATGATGGTGACTATACTGATGTCAGCTGAACTTTCTTGCCTGGGAGAATGTACATCCCTTAAAAATCAATGTAAAGAGAATTTCTAAACAGTACTTGTTTACCTATATTGCTTTCTGAATAACTGCTGACCACAAGCCCGCTAGTCTCCTCGCAGTGCCATCCTTTTCTTGGATTCATAACAATCTAGTTCATGAAAATTCCTTTTCAAATGCAGCATGTTGGGAGAATGCAGGCTAATCCATGTGCTTTGCTGACTCCAGCTGGGACAATGGTAAAGCCATCCCCTGATCCCTGCAGAAAATGATGCCCCTGCAGCTGAGTTCCGGAAAGATGGTACGACCTGGTCTAAGCCGCCGCAACCCACTGTATTAACAAGAGGCAACATCATTTCCAATTTATATTAATATGCAAGGCTGTGAACTGTGGTGGCTGAAGGCTGTGATTCACAACCTCTGTCAGGCAGAGATATGCTCCCTGAAGAAGTTGCTGTTCCCATCCGAGGGGGCAGCGACCTCTTCGGCTAAGGTTTTCCTTCCACAGCTAAATCTGATAAGGATTATGAATCAGAGCCTTGGACTGTTTTAAGATCTCCTTCAGTAGAGTAATATGGAGACATATTT